GAGTGAGAGCCAGTGCTCAGCTCGTAAATCACAGACATTTGGCTTGGTTGACCACGCCAAGAAGGCACTTTTCTCAGAAAAGAGAACAAAGGTCACAGATGGAAGGAAAGAAATAGGCTGCCAGAGCAAGAAGCTAGAGAGGCAATGCCAAACTGAAATTATCCATGCACTCCCATCATTTCAAAGGACAAAATACAAAGGGAGTTGATAATGTTTATTTTCAAAGAAACAAGAAAATAATGAAAAGGATAGTGGTCTCAACAGACTTTGAGGTTGTAGTAAGATTTTTCTAATAGTATGTTATTACCTAATTTATTCTCCAGCCCTACCACTATCCTTCAGCCCTACCACTATCATAAGAATGAGCGATCACATGAACAATCAGGCATGGTAGTAACCTCTACAGGAAGCTCTGGTCTAGGACCCTGACAGACAGAAATTCACTGACTAGAAATTTTGTATAACTGCAACCTAAAAACTCTCATTCCCTGAAATTTCTCTTTCTTATTTATTACAGGCATTTCTTAAACTAGGATATTAGAAAATGTGGCAGAGTTAAAGAAACATGAGGCAGGAAAGAGATTCATTTTAAAAAAAAAGTGTGTGTATGTGTAAACATATAAATATACATAAAATCTCCAAGTCAAGGCCTGAAAATTGCATGTGATTTCTACCTCTGCTTCATCAAACTTTATTAAAACAACAAAACATCCTTACTTATTTGTATTCGTTCTTAAGAGTCCTGCATTTTGTTTATTAATTATGTGATTATACTGAAAGCAAGATAAAAGTGAATGCAATTTTCCAAATTTATGTGCGTCATAACGTCATTTTCAATTAGGGAGCCTCTGAAAAATACAGGTTAAGAGCTCCTTCCTTGTACATTACCTACAATTTCCTCCAAATCTTCCCAGAGTAAGTTCTGAGTATTAAATTGGCCAGTGCCCTAACACTTTCTCATATTTACAGTTATCCAAAAAAACAACAAAAGAAAAGCTCTATATCAGAGATGGAGAACCTAGGAAAATGCTTGTTAGCCTGCAGGACAGATTAACAAGGATTTTCTGAATTTGCACTAACAAGGACTTTCTAAGGATAGAAAAGAGAACTTGTCTTTACCCTGTTCTCAGTAACATCATGAGATCATTAACTAGAAAGATCTAGCTTAAGGCTGACTTCTGCATTAAGAGAATGTGCCAGACCTATACAAATGTTCAGATGGGCCTTCTGGGCAAGGCTTGTGAAATGGAGTTTTCCTGTCTGTTATGTTCTAGAGAAGATAGAATGCAGCCCATCTGACAAGAGTCTTGTTGTTAGGTGCCTTTGAGCAGGTACTGACTCATAGTGACCTTATGCACAACAGAATGAAACACTACCCAGTCGTGTGCCAATCTCATAATCATTGCTTTGCTTGAGTCCATTGATGCTGCCATGGTGTCAATAAATCATGTTGGGGGTTTTCTTTTTTTTTTTGCCAAACCCACACTTTATCAACAGGCATTGGTCAATTCTGATAATATGATTGAAGTACGTGAGATGAAGTTTGGCTAGCCTCGCCTGTAAGAAGCATTCTGACTATACTTCTTTCAACACAGACATGTTTGTTCTTTTGGCAGTCTGTGGTATTTTTAATATTCTCCTCCAATACCATAACTCAAATGCATCCATTCTTCTACAGTCTTCTTTATTCATTATCCATCATTCACATGGATATGAGGTTATTGAAAATATTATGGCTTGGGTCAGGCAAACATTAGTCCTCAAGCTGTCATCTTTGCTCTTGAATACTTTAAAGAGGTTGTGTGCAACAGATTTGCCCAATGAAATATGTCATTTGATTTATTGATTCCCACTTCCATGAGAGTTGTTGATCCCAGAAAAATGAAGTCTTTGACAACTTCAATCTTTCTCTGTTGATAAGAATGTTGTTTAATGGTCCAATGTGGTGAGGATTTTGTTTTCTTTACATTGAGGTGCAACCCATACCAAAGAGTGTGGTCTTTGATCTTCATCAGTAAGTATTTTAAGTCCTCTTCACATTCATCAAGCAAGGTTGTATCATCTGCATATTGTTGTTGTTAGATGCCATCGAGTCGGTAACGACCCATAGCGACCTT